AAAAGATATGAAGACTGATAAGTTGTAGAAGTTTTTCGGCTGACGAGAAAGATTGAAAAGTGGATGAAAAGAAGTTTGGATGAAAAGCAGATGAATTTGCATGGTGATGACAATAATGTATTCAGATACACGAATAAAAACAAAGTTGTAACACCAGAAAAACGCGAAAAGGATATGGCAAAACGTGCGAAACAAGCCGAAGCAGCACGACTTCGCTATCATCGCTTGAGTGCTGAAGAGAAACGTGAACTGAATGTGAAAAGAACACTGGCACAGAAAAGGAAAAGACAACGTGAAAAAGAGATGGAAGAACTGGAAGAGCTTCTTCGACAGACCAATGATATACAGGAGGTGATTACATTATTATTATTTACTGCATCATTACTATTGTTAGCTTTTTTCTTTACATTGCTATCATTAATATTCATGATATTGATGATGCATTGAATATGAACATTTATCCACAAAGAAGTCATCATTTGATTACAATCTGAGTGAAACAATGAATCTATTAAATGTAAATTAAAGGATCCGGAGATCACCGAGCAATTGAGAGAGAAACGAATGCGTGCACGTTGGGCAGAAGCAGCACGAAGTCGTTATCAGCGAATGTCATCCGAAGAAAGAAGAGCACATAACAACCGCAGACGTATGAGGCAGATTGCTGCGGCTGAAGGACTCAAAGGACCCGACGGACAACCTGTATTCATTGAACTTCTTTTATGATCGTCACTTTTCTTTTATACTTCAATTATATCAAGCCAAAATGTCACAACAGCAGTATAGCATTGACGGAGGGAAGGGGCATGTATGGTGATTTGATGTAAGCTGGTTCAGTTCTCAATCCTATTAGTTGTTAGCTATCGCGAGGTTTAGTGCAACTGAAAAGTATGTTTGGGAATGAAAAGAATTTGGGACAGATCTAGTGAGAAATTATTGATAAGGTAGAATAGAAGCACATGCCAATAGACATTAGTTATGGGTTGTTATAAGCTGATTTTCAGTAGGAGTTCGAGTGTGGGATAGAAGTGGCTGAAAACAGGTAAAATGTGTTTGAAAATTGGTGTATTTGGTGTATAGTAAATGATATTTTAAGATTAGTGGTCGAGTGAGCATTGAGGGAGTGCAGTCGTTCGATAGTGCCATACACACAACAGTGCATACACAATTAAAAGTAATTCCCGTTTGCCGCAACAATTGTTCAGTGGTCAACAAGTATTCACACAATTTTGTGATTTTCCAGGACGAAGAAGCTATTCGACGCCATATCAAAGAACAGAACGCTAAGAAGGCTGAAGCTGCACGTCTCAGATATCATCGTATGTCTGAAGAGGAGAAACGAGCCTACAATCAGAGAAGGTTGGAATTTCTTTGTTGTATTACTGGTTGTTGTGTACTTTTGTTGAGCAGTCAGTTGATTGGATCTTTGAACGAAAAGTTATAGGACGGAAGCATTCCGACGTCGTCGTATGGAAGAGGAGATGTTGCTGGCGATGCCAATCGGACGTATCAATGGTGAGGCATTAGATCGTGCCCAGCAAATCGTTGTGCGGAATGCGAAGAGGGCTGAGGCTGCGAGACTCAGGTCTTTTACAGTCGTTATTTAATTATTGTTTTTTCGCCCGAAGAATGTATGGAATATGAAGTGCTGTTTTCTAAAGCTATAATGCTTTGGTGAAAGTATATGCACATTTCATGCACTGAATGAACATGATAGTGTTGCGAAATTCTCTTGAAAAGGAAGAAATGTACTGTTGAAGATATCAACGAATGACACCAGAACAAAGGAAAGCCTACAATCAGAAACGTTATACACCGAAGCGAAAACGTGAATCCGCTGAACATGAACAAAATGGTACAAATCGAGGCAGAAAGAAGACTCAAGATGATTTCGATGCATTGACAACACTCGAAAGAGATGTCATCAAACGCACTCAACAGGTTGCTTTTTTTATTAATTCTTTTTCATGAACTTTATAGTTTCGAATAGGATACATCTATTTGTTTAATCAATTAGGAAGGAATTCATCAAGTGCAAGTGATCATTTATGAAATGAAATGAAACCAAGTGATAAATTAAGGCACAACAAGCGCTAATGCGTCAACAACGTAATCCACCGAACGCCACCACAACCACCACATATCTGAGTGCAACACCCATCCAGGGTATCCAGGGAACACCAGTTGGAAGCGTGGTGCAGTGTGCCACCACACAGAATCTTGGTACGATCCAAACCGTTGGGAATATGAACAGTTCACATATTCAGCAGCAACAAAACCAACAGCAACAGCAGTCTCAGCAGCAGCAGCAGCAAATCACTCAATTGCCACAGGTTTGTTTTTATTAGTGATGGTTGTTTGTGAGTGTTGTGTGATGTATTCGTTGGAGGAGTGCTAGATTGTTTGTGGTATTAGTTCCAGGTTCAGCATGTTCAGCACCAGCAACAAATCCAACAACAAGCTCAGCAGCAATCCACGCAAAATCAAAACCAACAGCAACAGCAACAAACAGCCACACAACAAAATCAACAGCATCAGAATCAGATTCAATACACCAGTTTACAGCTCTCCAATAGCACACCAATGATGGTCAATCAACACTTACAGTCGCAGCAACAAATGGTTAATCCTTATACCACGGTATAATTCCACCTATTTGTTTGTTATAATGTTAGTGATGTGTGTTGATTCATTTAGCAGTCATAGTGGCTTTATTGGTTTGACAATGTGCTTATTTCATTGCATCATCCTCTTTTCACTCGCCACTCTAACAGACAAATAAATATCTTTCAACAGCAAATTGAAATATCGAAGCAAAAGTTTTTATAAATGCAGTTTATGGTTCAATTTTATGCAAAATGACAATGATAGATTTTTCAGATTTGATAGATGAATGGTGCATAAGGAAGTGAACACGGTGGAGGAATTATTGTTCGGTTGAATATCGCCAATCAAATTCATTACTGTCATCAATATTCATTTGTTTTCATTTTCAGTTAATCGTTTTAAGTGAGTGCCTGTAATCCATTTTTTAGAATGCTTCGTTTATCACGTCAGTTGAATGTATCATTGATAATGGCAAAATGCATTGTTGTTTCTGAATTTAAAAATATTGATATTTTATTCACAATTGCAAAGACGACCTCTTTTCTGATTTCAGTTATCATTTTTATTAGTTAGGTTTTTGGGTGTTTTTGTATTCGTTAGATGTTACGGCATTCTCACTGCAAAGTGCTCTCTTTGTGTTGTTGGTTCTTGTGTTTTGGTTTCTGGGAGAATTATCATGTGGTGTTTGTGCAAAGCGGAGGGAAATCCAAATTCATGGTGACTGTTTTGTTCGTCGGTGAATGAAGACCGTAAATTGCGTAAATCGCTCGGCAGTGTGACGCTCACTGAATTAATTTCACTTTCTTAAACGTCGAATTATGAGTAGTTGAATGCTCTGCAGAATAAGTTCTGATACGAACTCAAACTCAAAAAGAGAGTAATGCATGTCATACCCAGTTATTCGTTTATTTTGTTCATGAAATTTTTATTTTCGTTAGTATTTATTGAATAGGTCTAATAAACTGCGTCCGATATTCATTCATGAAACTGTTCATTCGATTACGTTTCATACTGTTGTATATGGTGGAATATTGCTGTCATTTAATTATCATAATACCATTTTCATTGACTGTATTTTGTTATTCTAATCATCGTCGTAATCATATGACGACATCCACTTTTTGTAAGATTACATTTCAATTGATATTCAACAATTTTGTTATGTTGTAATTTCATTAGTGTGGTTTATTGTGTCGAAATTGGTTGCGTTATTCATTTGGCATTTGACTTACTGAGTTAAGAATTACAATGCACTCTTTAAAGATATGATAACAAAGCGATATCTCAATTGATCTGAGGTTAATGAAACGATCATCGAATCAGAAAATGACGATGAATCAATCAATCAGTTTCGATTTTGTTCATTATGATTATCAACACTTTTGGATGTTTGCATTTTTTAAATGTTGGTTTTTGTTAACTTTGGTTTTATTTTTGTATTTTCACGTGTTATTGTTGTGACAATCATCATTATTATCAATATCATGTATTGTTGCCTACTCATTGTAATGTTGCAACCGTCATCCATTGATTCTAAGAGTAGTCATCAGCCGTTATGGGAGATACATTCGGAACTTGTGTTAGTTCGTAAACATTTTCGGTTCCCTCTTATCGCCAGTATTCTTTCTGGTGCACTGATAATTTCGTCAGTCGAAATTCATTTCGTATGGCAACTGTTCCCGGAAAGCGATGAAATGTCCCAGAAAAAAGCCTTCATTCAACTATGCTTCAGCAAGTTTACTTCTCTTCATCGGTTTTATTATTATTATTATTAACCAGTTATCAGTACCGTTGTTGTTAACTAAACATTCGTGACTATATTATCGTGTTATTTAACGAATAAAAATGTCGATCTCTGAATTCGGCTGCTCTCGTTCGAATCCATCACGTAACTGTTATTATAACACGCGTGCAGCGCTATCTGCTGAACGTGACGGACGGTAGGTATGTTCATTCGTTTTTGCTATATTTATTCACACATTCTAGGAAAATAATTGTGACAAGAATGAAATGAGTCGGTTTTCGAGTAAATTGCTTTGTTAAAAATTAGCTCAGTATCATTGCTTAACGAAAGGTTAAGGCCAGTGGAGCGGTTCGCAAAGAAACGCTTTCAATATTATTAAGTGCTCCTGATTTTCAATGATCTTTTCAGTTAATGAAGTCACTCATTCATAAAAAGTATTTGAGGGTTGAAGGGTAGAGTTGATTGATTATAACTTCGTGCAGTAGTGAGTGTCACACTAAACCACTTCGTTATCCAGTGTGATACGAAAAAAATTTTCCTTGTGCGTCAGTGTATTGAAGATAGGCGAATCGCGTGAATTATTTAATATCAATAAGCATGGTTGCTTCTGCTTGCAGTTAATAGTTTGATTGGGATGTCACTTGAATGAACGACATTTGAATGCGATAGTGATTTGATGATTAGTTGTTATTATTGTTCTCAATGAGTCGACAAGCGTTCTTCTCAACTAATGGTTCGAATGCTATCTCACAATCACAGTTACTTGAAAATGGTTGGTGATTTTTCTGTTTGGATATTTTTGGTTTGTGTTTTAGAAATTAAGGAGCTTTCGTTTTTGAGCATTATTTAATGATAATTTAAGGTTTGTTCTCTTTTCAAAATGAAAATCATTTAATGGTGATGCGAGAAATGGAAAGATTGTGTGAACGGTCTTTTGCTTAAGTGCTCTAGAACAGTGGTCGTACCTAACTTTAGTACTGTAGGCAAGTTCAATTCAGTGCGTTGATTGAAACGTTAATCTGATGAATTCAACGTAAAACGTATCGAATCTGAGTGCTTCTCTTACTTGGTGTTAAATCTTTTTGCGAACTAATGTGAATTTTGTGTTGATACTTTTAATTTCAAACTGTAATGCAATGCAAGTTAATCAAATTTTGTAAACGAATTGTATGCGTGCATTGTATTATGAATGTCAAAATGAAATGAATGAACCGTCGTCGTTTTACTAAAGAAGATTTGATTAAAGGTATCAATTCGTCAACGATAACCTCAATTCAATTTCAAAATTCGTCAACGTCACCATCGCTGATATACCAACCTTCCAACACACCAACTTTCTATACCACTACGGAATCACCCTTCAACAATTCTAATGCATTTATACAAACTTCAAGTGGTGCTCGAAAGGAATATGTAAGCCGATCGTCATATTTTCACTATTATTATCGTTATTGTTCGCATTGTTGTCACTGTTGTTATTTCAGCCTTGTACAGTTTAATCATTATCATTTTTATTACCATTCTCATTATTATCGCTTCTGGATATTGGTTTTGGTTTGTTGCTTTGGGAACGCTTTTCAATCAAATGATAATTACAGCAAATAAGTGGTGATATGCGCTCAGACGACAATCAAATAATATACGAACAATTCTTTGTGGATGTT